CCTCTCTGCAGTGTGACAGTGGCTGCCGGTGGTGGCATGCCTCTGCCCAAGATCTGGTGTAGTTTGTATGGAAGAAGAGGGTTTGGAGCCGAGGCCAGCGCTTATGCCCCAGCCCTGCACCTGCCATCTGGGCTCAGCTTTGCCAGGGTAGCAACCCTTGTACAGAGAAAGTCATTGGGATGAGTGTAAATGAGTTTGCCTGCGGAATTAGCCTGTGCTGCCTGCAGAGGCCAGGCTGTGGGGCTGCAGGGTCTTGTTTTTCTGCCTTGTCTATTAGAGCTCAGTGTGTGGTTGGTGAACCACCCTGGGCTCCCCACACCTACACCCAGGCGTGCCTGGTGTCCAGGAGGTTTGTAGCTCACGTAGGAGCCTCTCAAATTGCATGTCGTACTCCAGAGACTACTTTTGGCCATCACTGGGTGACCTATGGATGCCCTGACTATGCCTGAAGGGCAGCAGCATTGTCCATGCCATGGGGAGTGCATGCTGCTGCTGCTGCCGCCTGCCTCACCCCTGCCGCGCCCCTGGCTCCCTGCAGCACTGGAGAGGCAGCAACTCACTGGTGGCAGAGGTGCTAGAGCAGGGAAAGGCAAATAGCCAAGAAGGTCATCTCCTTTGCTCCCATCAGGTTTCTAGCTGACAGCTGGCGTTCCCAGAGCAGCAGGGAGTTGTGCCCACTGGCTTATGTGCTTGGCAGCTTCCCCCAGGCTCCATGCAGGCTCCTGCCTTTGCATATAGCACTGGAGAGGCAGCAACTCACTGGTGGCAGAGGTGCTAGAGCAGGGAAAGGCAAATAGCCAAGAAGGTCATCTCCTTTGCTCCCATCAGGTTTCTAGCTGACAGCTGGCGTTCCCAGAGCAGCAGGGAGTTGTGCCCACTGGCTTATGTGCTTGGCAGCTTCCCCCAGGCTCCATGCAGGCTCCTGCCTTTGCATATCCTCTTCTCCTGACCCTCCATCCATCCTCCATCCAACTTCCTGTGGTTTTAAATCCACTATTTAAATCTCTTGCAGGCCATCCCCTCAACTCAGGCTAGGGGAAGGGAGTCCCAGCCTACAGGCAGGCTCAAGGCTGCCCGTCTGTAGGCTGCTCCAAACA